TATATATATATATATATATATATATATATATATATATATATATATATATATAGGGTATATGTATATATATATCAAAAAAGTTCATAGTTCACAGCTGTCGCGCTGTCGTTTTTGACTAGTTTGCTTCTCAGCTATTCAAAGTGGATTAATTATTTGTTGCTTAGTTGTTCATTTAAATAAATTATGAGTATTTTGCGCAGATATCTTCTCTATAGGTATATATGTATTTTTTTTTTTTTTTTTGATAAAAAATATATAAAACTGGAAAACGATTGTGGCTTCATGCATGATAGCTATGAAAGTTGAAATATATATGTATATATTTTATATCTTATATATAATTGTTTATTAAAGTAAAAACTGCATTGCACATTTTATTATTTATTTGTGTGTATGTATATGTGTAAATTTAGCTTGAACCTTGTTTTGATTAGAGTTTTCGATTTTGGTATAATTTGTTTTGATTCTTCATATGCTTTGTCTATATAGATATAGTTAGATTCATAGAATTCATTCAACTTGATCAACTTATAGATATACATATACATATATATATATTTAGTTTATTTAGTTTATTAATGCAGCTTAGTAACTTTAGCGACAATTCCACATTCGTAACATAATCCTAACTGATATATTTATTTGTAATTAAGAGAGATATTTAGTAGATATTGCGTTTAGGTTAGAATTTTTCTTTTGTTTTGCTTTGTTTTTCTTTTTTACAACATTTGGCACCGAAGCAAATAATTAAAATTAAAATTAACTGAGATTAATGTATTAATTAATATCGACACAATACTTGTTATACGAAACTAATCCTCACTCTCTATGGGTAACGGCTGACTGATGCTAATGCTGATGCTGATAATGATTATGATGATGATGGTGATGATGATGATGCTGCTGCTGCTGCTGCTGCTGCTGCTGCTGCTCCAACTGATAGCCATAGCTGGAGCTGGAGCTGGCCTGCGTCTGCACCGAGAAGCTCAAGCCGCACGAACAGTGCTCAATGTGGGGCGGTGCTGCCGTTGAGGGCGTGGCATGCACCTGGGCCTGCTCCGTGATGATGGTGGGCGTGGGCGATGGCGACGACAGACAGTCCTGACAATACGCCAGACCGTGAGTCGCCCGGAAATGATTGTACGTAGCTGAAGCTGAGAGCGGCGGTGGTGGCGGTGGCGGTGGTGGAATCGGTGTGGGTGGACTCTCAGCCGCTGCTGGCGGCTCTGCTGGTCCTAGTACGCCTGGTGGTGGTGGTGTCAGCGATTGTGTCGAGCAGCTGGAGTCACAGCTCTCGCTGGCCGTCTGCGACTCGGTGCTGTCCGAGGTCGAGGTGGACGAGGATGGCTTGTGTGGCTGATGCGGCTGATCGGGTGGGTGATGGCAGCGACATATTGTAACTCAAAAAGTGCCGCCATCGTGTGGATGACTGACGGCAGCCTCAACAGCAACCGGCGCCGGCACACGGCCATTGGCCAGCAGCTGTTGCTGCGGCGAGCTGTAGCCATCGCCGGCGCCATCGCCATTCAATTGCTGCGGCGGCTGCGTTGGCTGCTGCTGCTGCTGCTGCTGCTGCTGTGGCTGCTGATTGTTGTGTGAATGATTATTGTGATTGTTAATGGAATGATTGAGCGATGCATGTGTGTTGGGTGAGTGTGCCTCGTCGCTCGTCGTCAGACTTGGGCCCAGTCCGTTCGCCGTCACGCCCAAGGATTTGGGCGGTATCGGTGGCGGAGGCACGGGTATGTCCTCCACATCAAACGAACTGGTCGAGCTGTCGCGTTGCGTTATATTCATGCCACCGGCATGCATGTGCATATCGAGGCTGCCATTGGAGCTGATGCGACAGTGCTCCCGATGATGAACCGTGCTCATGGATAGACTGGCCGACTCCTCGCCGAGATTGTTCAGCTGATTGAGCTCACGCGAGCTGGTCGTCGAGATGCCAGAGTCACGAAAATCGTTGGGCGCAAAGCACACGCTCAGGTGATTGCCCGCCTCCTGCAGATTGGGCGGCAGCGAGTGCGGCTGCTGATCCGCCTCGGGATCATCGAAGCTGATGTCCACCACAGAATACTTTTGGCCGTGCTGCTGCTGTGCCGAGTGCCGCCTGGCAGCGGCATCTGATGCGTGCCCAGCGCCGAAATCATTGAATATCATCGGATTGGAGGCACGCTTGTCCGGCGTAATGCCACGCGGTGGCAGGGGCGGTGCATTGGATGAGGTGCTCATGGGCTG